GTCCCTATCGTATGATAACACTAACACCTACAAATTTTATGTAGGTAAATATCTATCTCTAGAAAACCCTGCCAACAGAAATACTCTGCTTACTAAGGAAAGAGAAGCAGATAAAAAGCGATGCATATAGTTACGTATCACTTAAAAATTTTATTGGCAGGGTTTTCTAGAGGTAGATATTTACCTACATAAAATTAGCTACCGAATTTCTTCATTAGATTCAATCATTTTAACAGTAAGAAAAACAAATGAAAATCACACATTATCTTAATCTGAATTCCGAGTTATCTTCTTTAAAATTTAAACTTCTTAAAGATACCGAAACCAACCAGAAACAAATAGTATAGCATTAATATTTGATTACAAGTTATTGCATACTATATGCGAAAAGACTTTTTCCCAACCTAATATGTACAGGTAATAAATAACCCCAGAACTAAACATAAAGTTAATTTCCAAGACTGAGCAAAATAAATTCTTGATCCAAGATTAAGATACAAGGTCTTAGATTGTGTTATAAAAATAATCAACTCTTATTTTGGAAATAGCATTTTACTGGTTATCCAGGGGTTAGTGTCAAAATTTAAAAGGCAGATATCCATAATGGTGTTTAATTTTCTCTCGTTTTGTCTTTATTATGCTCTTTCTGATTATAAAATAAGATCTTTTCATGCCCCTATAAAGTAAGAATCAAAAGTTTTTACGCTTTTATATCTTTAAATTATTTGTTTTAATTTAGTGTGTAGACGTTATACTTAATAATTTACCTTATCTCCATTAATGCACATTATTCTAAAGTTCTTTTAAAAGCATTCTTTCTTTTTAAAAGCAAAGAAAAATGAATTTTTACTTCATTGCAAAGTTTATTTATAAAACTACAATTTTTACATATGTATATTAACTGCTTATATATGTAGTAATATAGTCTTTAAGTAATTCAATATTTTGAAGTGAGAGGCTAGAATGACAGATATTTGAAAAACTTTTTCAACGAAACTTTCATCCCCTAGGGACAGGGACATCCCACACCATGTACAACGTAAATATGAAAAAGTAAAACTTCCTCAATTAATCGTATGAAGAGTTATGAAAAACAAAATTTATCACCCGCATATAATAAATCTACTTTATCAATTTATTTATGAGCTCAAATAAATATTTCGTATATCAGGCCTCAGTTTATTGGAAAAAGTTTTTGGTTCATATTATAAGCAAATGTTTACTTTGTATCAAACTTATTAAGCTCCGTAATTACGCGTGGCTAAATATTTTAATGTTTATATAAGTAATCTGTGTCCTTTTGTTTTTTCAATTAGGATTTTCATACCGGATGTGGGTAGATAGTAATTTTAAAAAAAATGGTATTTATTATGTGTCCTGTGAAGACTGATATAACTCGAGTTGTATCATTTATTTATTTTTTGAACATCTGCACGAGAAAAAAATAAAACTACCTTTTTATCTGCTTCACGTTTTAGTACGTCTCGGATATAGTTTGACAGTGCGTCCTACCCGTTATGACATACGGAGCCGAAACGTGGACACTGACGGCACGGCTGGTCCACAAATTGAAGGTCGCTCAGCGGGCTATGGAAAGGGCTATGCTCGGCGTTTCTCTGCGGGATCGAATAAAAAATGAGGTGATCCGGCAGAGAACCAAGGTTATCGACATAGCTCACCGGATTAGCAAGCTGAAGTGGCAGTGGGCTGGCCATATTAGCCGCAGAACCGATAACCGTTGGAGTAAACGAGTTCTTGAGTGGAGACCGCGTCTCGGCAAACGTAGTGTAGGACGTCCTCAGGCGCGGTGGAGTGATGATTTGCGCAAGATGGCTGGCACGAGCTGGATGCGAACAGCCGAAAATAGAAGTAGATGGCGTGCAATTGGGGAGGCCTATGTCCAGCAGTGGACGAATATGGGCTACTGAGAGTCACATAAAATTCTGCCGGAATCTAGTAAAAGTTTTATAATATCGGTGTCTTTATTCTGACTAGTGAATATTTTAGTTAATGCGTGACCAATGCAAGTTATAGCAATAGCTAACTGATTTTGTTTAATTTCAATAGCTTTGTCCTTTTTGATCAATGTATCCGACAAAGCAGTTTTTATTTCTGCATTTTTCGAACAGTTCTTTTTTGACATCCTTTTGTAGACCTGCAGTAGCAATATGTTCCCAGCGAACAGCGAGTTCGTTTTGTATTGGTAAACTATACTTTTTATTCTTTGAAGGGGTTTCACCCAAAAGTTCGAGAATATTATCGTCTAACATAGTTTCAGGTTCGATTTGGTCGACTGAGATTGAAGGTATTTCGGAAATATTTGATTCAATAATTTGTGCTTCAGGTTCTATTAAGTGTAAAATAGAATCTTGCATATCTCTTGGAGATGATAAATTCACTACAGCATCGCTTACTGTCGTGGCTTCTTCCATAATGACTTTTTGTTGGTTGTCTAGAAGAGATAAGAAAAAAGTTTAAATAACTTATTTCGTTCCATTAATTATATAATTCTAAACCTGAATTTAAGTCATTTTTGTGAAGGTGCCATCCTTATTAGATGAACTCGACACATTTCATATAGGAATACAAAGGCGATAGTCTTATTAAACTACCCTCAATGTATATTATCGTGAAGGCTACACTCTCTTTGAAGTGTGCTCAACACATTTGAACCTGAATTATGATTAGATTATTCAATACACAAATCGAATATCTGAAGATTACGAAAAAATAATTTGCTACATACCTTCTTGTAATGACAATCCTGCATCGGAACTATTTGGAGATGAACTCATCAATCGTTTTTGGGAGCGTTTTCTCACTTTTTTTTCTAACTTTCTTATTTTTCTCATAATATAATCGTCACTGTCTTTATTTTTACGTTTAGGCATCTTATTTTCCTAATATACCACACAGAGATGTGTCGAACGGCCGGGCACTGAAACGCGAATGACAAATGGCGACGACCAGTGTTGCCAATAGAAAAGTAGAAATTAAAAAATGTATTTCATTTTTCCTTTATTTATGTGTTTCTCAACTATAGTGTATGAATGGCCACACGGTACGCGCTACTACAAGTATTCTAATCTCGAAGTATAATTAAGTCAGAAAAAATAGTTCGTTATGCAATGTTAATATTGATTTTTGAATATCGTTCTATTAGTTTTGGAACCTACTTGATGCAAACAAACAAATAATAAAATCTTTCCTCTTTAAATTAAAGTAGGTAGATAATATATCTAGTTGAAATTTGCTTTCTAAATCCATGTGGTTATGTTTCATTCCAATAACATAATTAATTGAATCTCAAACAAGTCATTACGAAATCTGTACACGCGAAAATTTTAATTGTAATTATGTACGTTTATATGAATTGCTTCTATTCCCTGTAGAATTTACGTATGAGGCTTCATATAAAAAAATATATATATTATTGATGCCGTCATTTCGATACCTTTTTGCGACATGATTGCATAAATATTGGATATTACTTTTCCCTTTAACGCATTTCCTTCCACATTTCGGTGTGTTGCTTTCCATATTTCTTTATGATAATAAGACTAGCTACCAACATGCTTGGTAATATGGGGAATAGTATTGGCACCTTCATATATCAGTTACACAAGATTTTTATGTTTCTCCACTTCATTTTAAAGCTTTATCTGTTTGTTAGTATAGTTCTAAAACGATTTGTGAAATATTACGTTTTATAAACTAATAGCCATTGAAAGGACTCCAAAACTTTAGGACCGATTTTTTTTGCACCTACTTGAAGCTACATTACACGCTGTGACATAAACTATAACTTACGTGGGCAAAGTTCTGACTTTGCCCACGTAAGTTATAGGAAATCAGTTAATCACATATAAAACTCGGAGGAGAAATATCTACTTCGATCATTTTTTTACAATTGTGAGGGTTATTTTTCACTAACAATAATCGGTCATCTGTTTCAACAGCTAATGTGGTATCTATCAGAGCAAAATTTGGTGTGTTATTAATCTGACCGCGCCACCATTTATACTTATTTTCACTAACATTTGATACCTTTATTATTCCATTCCTCAATTAGGCTTCTTCCAAACTCTTTCACGCTTCTTATTTAAACTTCCCAAGTGAATAATATCGAACTCTTTGTTAACATTATACAAGTGAATTGTACTAGGAGGAATTACTCGTGCATATCCTTAATGAAAACACCGAGTGACTTACGTCGCTTGTCTACGAGTGTTCATAACTTCATGTTATGAAACTGTAACTTCATGTTATGAACACACATTTTAGTGGAGAAATTGTTCTTTGTCTAAAATTTCAATGCAAACATCTTTATTTTGCTACTGTTGAAAATTTTATTTGAACATTTACTAACGTCAAGTTTCTACATCAACTCATCCAGGTACTAATATATGAATAATTGATGGGCAGGTCGATCAGTAGCTTGAAGCCAGACCAGTCTAACTTAATTAAACTCATTTGAATATCTACAAGAATAGGTAGCGAATTCATTTAGCGTTTTTGTATGAAAACAAACGAATGGCTACTGATGTCTTACTTATCTACATATTATTATTAAGCTATGGTTCGTTCTTTTCTGTTATTTTTGTCTAAGGTTTAGAGTTTATTTACTGTGCATCATTCTGTTTCTATTTTTTATTTACCGTTTTTTTTATTTAACAATATTTGCAATATGCTCAATCTTCTGTTTCTATTTTGTATGTTTATATAATATTGGAATCATCATCACACATTGGTCCACTGCTGGATGTAAGCCTCTCCAAGCGTACGCCATCAAACTGGATCTTTGGTTACTAGGTATTATAGGATGCAGGGCATTATTTATATAAACTTATTTTAGGAACAAATACTTCTAAAACTGCTAAACTTCGTAAGATGCGGGCAGTGCAGAATCGCTCGTCTTGGAGGCCTATGCTCAGCAGCGGGCATCGCAGTGTAAACTGTGGATTGTATTTTCAAATGTAAATTTTATTCCTTCTTTTCAGGCTATTCGAAGAGAACGAAGATCTTTTGCACATGTTCGAGAAGTTTCGCCAGTACCGGACGAAGGAGGAACAGATCAACTCCATGGAGCTTGCGGAGCACGCGAACAACGTGATGAACACATTAGACGAAGGCATCAAGGGCTTAGATGACCTGGATAACTTTTTTGAATACATCCACCAAGTAGGAGCCAGTCATAGGAAAATTCCAGGTTTCAAAGTGGAATATTTTTGGGTGAGTGTTCACTATTTTTGTACCTTTGTATAAACACGAATAAATTTCCATTAACGCGGACTTTGGCATTTTCCATGGAAATTTGAAATATTGTTCAAACCACAGTTTCACACCACGCATAAATAGGTTTCAGTGTGTTCTTACATCGTTTTCCACGTCCTCGTTTAATCATGGTTTTCTTTTCATAGCGTTTTTTTTATATTTTTATATTCTACTACCTGTTTTCCCACGACTTCGCCCACGTAAATTCTAGCCTGTATTACTCGTATATGATATGTAGCTTTTCGTAGGTGAAAAATTTTTCAATATCGGTCCGATAGTTTCGGAGTCTATTTGATAAAAAATATCTTTACGTTTAATAATATTTTTATATTATATTTTATATGAATTATATGGCAAAGTTACTATAGCTAAATTAGTACATCAAATAATACATTGATTACTAAGAAAAGTATATTGATTGTAAAGTCCACAAAAATAAATTAGTACAACAAAACGAGCAAAACCAAGTAAATTAATTGGATGATATAATTCTCTCAGTCGTAACAAGAGTAACGATTATTGCTTCATCGTCTTATGTATTTTGTATTCCTTATTATTTATCTGGAATGAATCAATGAGCTGAAACAGATACATGCGTAAGTTTAGACATATACAATATATTACTAACATCTACATAACTCTGCTAGCATTGCTCATGGAAAAATATTTATCTAAGGAAACACTTACAGATTCAGATAATAAATAACTCAGTAAATTCACAATTGTTAAAGCAATCTCTATCTTGCTTAATACATTATATTGTTTACAGCAGCACGTCTGATTACAACATTATGTTAAATTTTTGAAAATCATTTCCAACTTTACCCTCATTGCATTGAGGTTTAAAATCCAGTTAACTATTTGACAAATCTGTATAATCTGATGTGGTCTTGATTGTACATTCTAATAGGGAAGTACAGACCATGACATAGCATCGCACTGATCTGGCTCTTGGTTAATAATAAAACAGCAAGACATAAGTAGACTATGCTGAATTGCTTGCCAGTTGTCTTATCTTAATTGTACATTAAAATACCTTAAATGAAGCTGAAGAAGTATTCAAATTCAAATTATTTTATTGCATGTCACATTCTTACAAACAAAGAGGTGGTACATAATTTACGTCCTGCTAGGACATGGCAACATCTGAGAATTTATCAGTTAGTATATTTATTAAACTGCGAAATATTCATCAATTTTATAAGTAATTTTCTATTTACAAATGTTTAGTTTAGTTTATACAAGAAAAGTTTCCAATTTGTTCTCACATGAGTTATCGAGTAATGATATTGGAAGTTATGGAAACTAGCGATGATATTAAAAATAGTTATAAATATTAAGAAATCAAAAAACGTGTTAGAGACCATGCCTTGTGGTGCCCAGGTCTCTTTACCTACTAAAAAAGATGAGATATCCTAAGACAATCGTTTTAAATCAGACGTTGGTGAGCAACTCGTTTTAAAACTGACCTTTTTAATGATAAATTAAATTTCTCAAAAGTTCTGAGGTACTATTTATAATGAAAATAAAAAAAAACTTCATTTTCCTTTCACGAATTTCGTTGAGATCAGATCCTCTTAGTGAAATTGAATTAGCTTATTGGCTTCTAGGGGAAGTGGATATAAAGAATGTCAGCTAAAATATTTGTGCGGTGTTCGAAACCTATCCTTAAAATGATGAATATATCAGCTCGTGTATATTTTTTCAGCAATTGGTTTGATTGGTCATGTTTTCGAGACATAATTTGGAACGAAAATTTATCAATAAATAGTTAATAGCAAATGCATCATTTTAGCATTCTACCGACCTTTTTTCGATTAGTAAGGTAGATAGTGTGTTAATAAGCTTTTGATTTAATTTGTGCATTCATACATGTGTGACTGCAAAATTGAGTTAATATAATAATGCACCTTTACTTATTTACTAAAACAATATAACAGTAATACATAAGATTTTTATCTGGTTGGATAGATTCCTTCTTTGATCAGAAAACAAATAGTTTTTGAATGAAGTTCCAAGGTAATTTCTGGGAATTATTTAGCAAAGAGAAAATTCCTGGATAAAAGCTATTCATTAGTATAAAATAAACTAGTATAATATAATTATGGCTTTACATTGACCTCCACTTAAGAAATCAAATTGAACACATCAAACAGCTATTCAAGTTAAATCGCGTCGAGTCACTGCAAATCTCGATAGCACTCGGCAGTGGCTTCTTCCGATGCCTATCACGAAACCACGAAACACGCGAAGTTTCAGCGACTTGTCACGTCATCCGCGATCTTATCGCGAAGATAATAAAGTTGTTTTTCCCTATGCAATGCTGAACTCGGATTATTTACGTCTTACATAAACACACTTTTGTTCTTATATTTCGTTCAAGTTCTTTCCCGACCATTCGTTATCGACATATTTAGGATAACGTAACATTAATGTATGATGGATCTGTTTTCTTCGTAATTCTCATTATTTGTAAGGGTGTCAGTAGTACTTTTTATAAATATAACATCTCTTGCTGTATCAAGACAATATGGTAGATTAATTATTGTGAAGATAAGATCATTGCCAATATATAATTCATTATCCAGAAGCAAGAAGCACTGTTATTAGGTAATTAAAAGAATATCTTTAACTTTGTAGTATTAGGTATTGTAATATTACGTATTTAAAAGTATTTGTCGCGCACCGAACAGGCCCTGTCAGAATAACAGCGTTGACGCGGCACACATGTGTGTCACGACAACACAAGCTGAGGCTGGGTCCTGATTGACCTCTGTAATTTTCATTATTGTATTGTTTGTTAATGGTTTTATATTTTGTAATGTATTTGTGTATGTGATTGAGGTCAATAAATGTTTCTGCTTCTCTTCTTCTACATCTCGACTCGTAAAATAATTTCCCGTAAAAATGGAATTTCAAAAGAATATATTAAGGGAATACTCGTATTTTGTACATGCTGATATATTTCATTAAGCTAGTGACGTGTGTGAAAAAAAGAGTTCGAGATATCGAAGATCTGGTGATCCAAATAAATTCTTATACGAGTCAGTCGTTCCCTGAATACAAAATCTATTTTCATGGATTTGAATCACAAAGGGCGCGCGTAATTTTGCTAAATCTTGCAGTTTTATGTATAGCGTTTTGTATGCTACAATTCTGTCTAACCCTAACCCTACACTTATGTTATGATTGGTTTCTTTGATATAGTTTTATATTGAATCATCTGTCATATCTGTACTATAATTATTTATTATATGCATTTTCAAATTAAAATACTGAGCCAATCGGATCCGATGCAAACTTGTCATAGTTATCAAATATATTTTCAAGGTCATTAGAACCTTATCAGGCTCATTTTTGTCAAAAAATATGTGAAAATTCAAATGTATCTACTGCTCATGTTTGAGATTCGATAACATTACCCTAAACGCACGATTGCTCATCAAAGTGGTACTAGGGTCCTTTTTCGAAATACATAAATAAATACCTCACCTCCCCAGCGCGGGTTATCTCCCCTGCGGACCTATTGTTATCTGGGGGCCAGTCACATTGCGGAGATATACCAGCTGATGTCTTTATCTATGTTCTGTAACCGCCTTAAGGACTTTTTCCTGCGCCTAATGAGACTGATGATTATTCTCAAGTATTTGTGTTTTTTCACTACTATTGTGAGCATTTCCACCAATAAATAGACAAGCTGCAAGAAAAATTCCTCAAGAGTAAGGTAGAAGTAGCTCGGTGGCGTAGAGGATAAGCGCCGCGGCCCGCGATCGTTGTTGTTAAGCAACTTTCGCAAGGGTCGGTCACGGGATGGGTGACCAAAAAATTATTATCTCGAGCTACTTCGTGCTTCAGAAGGCACGTTAAGCCGTTGGTCGCGGCTGTATTTGCAGTCGTTAATACTTAAAAAAGGGCTGATGATGATGAAGGTAGAATAAGAATAAGTAACAATAAGGTAAAGCAGCAGCCCAACCAGCACAAGTTCATAACAGATACAATTATTCTTTTAAATACAGTTTTTAAGTTAGCCTATTCCAAGTTTTTTTGATTATTTTTGTAATCAGTTACTGCAGACATTTTGTGACTTCTGATAAAAGTAATAAGGTGTAGTTTAAGCACTCCTCTCTTGAGGCTAACCTGTTAAAACCTTATGACCACTTAAGACATCGATACAGGTACAAATCAAAAGCTGGTCAGGGCTTTAAGGTTAAGTCATTAAGACCTACCAACTAAAACCTTTTATTTTAGGTGGCTAAAGATAAGTGATTTAATTATGTTCTTAATCGGATCAACCGAGTCAAGCTCAAATAAACAGCTTATATTTTTTTATTTTTGAAATTGTGAGCTAAGATATCGAATTGTAAAGGATGGCAGAAGCCTACATATACTTTTAACAGCCTATTTCAACAGCCTACTAGCGTTTAAGTTAACCTTAACTCATTGATCACTTTTCTTTCATTACCTATACTTATAAATAAAAAGAGGAAAGATTAATTGTTTGTCTTTTTCCGTCAAATAGGCTCTGAAACTACCGAGACAATTTTGAAATTTCTTTCATTTACGTTAAGCTACATCATGCGCGGGTGACATATGGTATAAATTTACGCGGCCGAAGACGCGGGAAAACAGCTGTAATAGATATTTACTGTAATAGATGCAGTACAATATTGAATTTTCACTGGATACTTCCAATATAGACCTGTGTGATAGTCCTTTGATGATTCCCGGCATACTAGCATCCGGTTATTAAGGTCCTGATCAAGTTAGTAACGTGAACTTTAATTCTATCACTCCATTTACTCTGGTACTCGAGACTATTATTTTTACTCTACAATTTATTTTTGCAAGTATCTTAATTGCATTCATGGTGCAAATCGCTAAAACTACATAAGGTATTTGAACTCGACTTTACCAACTTTTCGAAAAAAATATCGTAGATGACTTATGCAGGAGCAGTCTCTGTTGCTGGCATCAGGTCTCTGTAGTCGTATTTTATAAATATTATGTTTTATTGTACCGGTTGTGGGACGGACGACCCGGTTATGGCCATTTTTGGATTACTGTGTACTTCTGGTCATCTTGGGAGTTACGAAAAAGTGAGAAAAGGTGAATGTTGTTAATTCATATCTGTTATCGACAAAGTACTTGTTTTATTATAGTGTAAGCTTTTAAAAATCGTTCACCATAAAGTAATATCAAATACCTATGCGTTAGAACATCTTGAAGTGGATTTTCTGCCCTATTAATGCTTATTATTTTTAATTAAATAATATATTGATTCAGTTCAATTCCATATACTTGTAATATAGCTCAGTTATCTTTGTGTGTGTTGCAAATCATGTCATCTTATTTTTAAAGCGATTCTTTTTTGGGAGAGGCTATGACAGAGCAGTGGATTTGCATGTCTGTGGCTATTGAGTCATAGACCATCTTATTTAAATTCACAATATTGCAGGACCTAGAATATCTGTGTAATAAAAAGTAAATATTGAAGTGTTTGAATGTACCTTTAAAGTAACATTTAAAATAGTGTGGATTGCTGTTTTTATATGTTTTATAAAGACAAATAAACAATTTTATAATTATTATAACCCTGATATTGGGAATGAAATTATCTCCATATGAATGTAATTACTATCTCGGCGCTGAATACCTTGCTAGATATACGGAGATAAGCGTCACAATATACGGTCCTCTCCTCACACTAGTTTTCGCTTTTTATAAAATTTTCTTTGATATCACGGATCTGATTCTTGGTCGAACCTATGTTATTTTTTTAACTATATTATATTGGGTCTGTGAGATGTAGCTCTTTAGATTTCCAAACTACGTTACTATATAATTTGTTATCTAAAGAATGTTTGTGATTTTGTCTAATATTCATTTATTTATTTAATTCTACTGTGATAATAATTATAATTAGTCAATTTTATACATTTGAATGGTTTATAGAAGCCAAAACTATTATTTTTGCTAGAAATGTTTTAGTTTTTGTGGCTTCCAGCGAAGGTATTATAAGCACTTGAAGATTATTACTTATGGTATATAGCATTTATTTATTTTTTGATAAAGAAACGTTAGGTCCTTACCAACTTGTACTTTAAATTAAAAGATTGATCCTGAAACTAAAGCGATACCAAGAAGAAACTGTGATGCGTGCAGGAGTAGAATTGGTTTACAAATTACGGGAATTAAAGATTATTCTTCTCAAAAAAGTTTAATGAAATATCTACTTATTATTATACATAACGGCGGGTAGTCCGAAGGGGCTATTACGAAGCCCAAATAGATCGTCCATATCGGAGGACTATCTTTAAAATAACACTGCAGGCGTATATACCAACGTGGATTTGTTCAATTTTATCATTTTTCACACGAAAATATAACGAGATGAGCGTGATGTCATCAGATGTCTTTACGCCTCGGAGTTTGGAAACAGAACGTGTGTCAAAATGGCGGCAACTTGGTTTTTATAAATGAACTGTCAAAGTCAGTGTCACCATTCTAATAAAATTAAAAGTATCGATGATCATGCTCTCTTTACAATCGAGTAATTAAGTAATCGAGTAACTAGCAATTAAAATAAAAGAAACTAAATCAAACGATCTTCGTAATGATGATGCGACATACATATTAAAATATAGAACATCTCAATATGAATAGATATTTTGATGTTTAGATGTGTGGATATTCTATTTATAAACAGCTTAGTCTCAGCAGTGTTCTATGTCTGAGATTATCAAAAAATATTTATCATTAACGTTTTTAGGTTTTAAATGAATAATCTGTTATGCCATTGAGAGGATAAGCAATAAAAAAAAAAACTTGAAAACAAAAGATGTCAATGGCTGAAACGTTGCTCACCTGAGATTTCCTGGAAGAAATTGCTCTATAGCGAAACGGTCACTCTATCAAATGTCATGTTATTTAATTATGGCGTAGAATTAAGCATTGATTCGTTAATTCATTCATACAACAGTAAATCATTTAAAAGTGTCATAATAAGTAAGTAAAACATATTTCCTGCTTTAATAATTATGGAATTGATTGAGTTATTCAAAGAAAGGCGACAAGAGGGAACGACGCATTAAAGGAAAAATAAATTTTTTTCTTGAATAATTCGACACACATTCTCCCAAAAACCTATAAACTAAAAGCTTCGATAGAGACGAGAAATCTGATGCCCTCACACAAAAGTTACAGATTGAAAGTAACGTTAGTATATATTAAAATTAAAACCACTATTCTAGCCAGGAATATTCTTAAGACAATATTTTATTCATGTGATCCTTTTGTGTGAAATATGTAATCGTCTTGGCCTCCCGAAAGGTTTGATGTGGGAAATTGGGAGTGGAATAGGAAGCACTTTAGATATGTTCATTGCCTTCTTTATTGTATTTCAGAAATAAATTCTACAACTTACGTTTGATTAAGCGAAAGTGTCCATAGAAACATTTAGGATTTACTTTTTGGATTGTATTTAGCACACTGCATATCTCCAGCAGAGTGACCACCAAACTTCTCTAACTATAACTCTAGCCGTAGGATACGATAACTTAGCGATGTTATAGCGCTATATCGTTTTATTTTAGTACTTTGATATGTCCTTGAATAACGAAAAACTTATGATAAGGAATGATGAACATGGACTTGACAGCAGTATTTACGACTTAGTCATTTATCACAAATTCAACCTTCAAAAGATCTTCAATCATATCAAAGTAGTAAAATGAAAACAATTAACGTTATAATATTCGCTAAAATGTTGTATCTTACGCATGCGTGCGCCATTTTTTTCATATTCAGTATAAAACCATAGACTAGTTTAATGATTAAAAAAAGATAGCGGTACTATAATGGGTTTTAAGATACAGTTAGCGGTACTATAATGAGTTTTTTATTTTTTATTTAGCTCCACCCGACTTGGGTATTAGCCATGTCAAATATAATGAGTTTTATTTTTAATTTTATGAATATGTGTTTATAAAGTGCGTATGTATAGAATCGTCTTTGAATTCGTAATTCGGATTTATCTATTTGAGTTTAGATAAAGTAATATATCGTTCAATAGTTCAAAGTTAACCCACCTCAACGAGTCTTTGATTCATTCTTTTGATAAAAAAATATCTCTTCAGATTTATAAAAATCACGTGTTGGCTATGCGAAATCTTTTTATTTCATACATTAATGATTGTTGTCGAATATGTATCGTCTGATAAAGAACTAGAGTTGCCTCCATTTTGGAAGATTATATATTTTGATTCTATAAAGCGCGTTTAGTTGAAGCGTTTATATAATCATATTTAATTTCCTTTCAGAAAATCGAGGCACCATTCCTAGCCGCAGTGGAATCGACACTGGGCGATCGCTACACGCCTAATGTCGAGAATATCTACAAAATAACCATTAAATTCATACTAGAAACACTCGTAGATGGATTCGAGAAAGCCGGCGTGCCCAACTCTACGTGAGCTCAGTGCAATCATTAAAAATTAAAAAACTAAACTGACTCGCGGCAAGCGGCCCGCGTGAAATTTTAAATACAGAACTTCAGACAAAGGAGCTCGATTCTAGTTTCAAAACTTTGAAATTGGAACGGCGGCGATTTTCGACGGCAACGGAATTTATTAAATGTCAATTCTAAAAGTGAGTTCGTATAGACCATTTTGAACGGATTAAAAAAGTGAATAATTGTTGAGTGATTAATGTATGTGTCATTTTATAAATTTGCGTTATGGTGTATGCTTTTTCGGTCACGGAAGAACATTGGGTTATGATAAACTAGCTTGCTTGCAATACATCAAATGATTTGTTATTATATAATTAGATATTTTAATTTCGTAGGATATAAAACAATGTAGATAAAATAGAGCAAATGATGTGCGTGTGTGTTTAATTAAGGGAATTAAAACCAAAATATTTATATTGTAATAATTATTATAAAATTATCATAATGAAGCATGTTACTTAAATATTTTTTATTTTTCATTGATCTTTATTGATTGTTGTTTTATTATTGTTGCAATTTTTTGTAACAATGGCTAGTCCGGTATAATTATAATTGTATCTAAAACGGTTTTGGTTCAGTAATTAGGTAATTTTAAACCATGGTATGTCTTCCGGTATAAATGATTCCGATTCTATTGAAGGCTTTTTGATTATTATTTTATAATTTTTAGAATATTATCATTGATGTTTGACACGAGTTTTTATATTTTATTTCGTAATATTCAAAATGTATTGTTATAAAATAAAACGTATTTATCTCTCAAAATAAATATTTAAAGTGTCATAATAGTGTTTATAAATGTAAAAAAAAAATATTGCGCGCAATTCTTCAGGCACAAAACCGATATTCCGAATTTTTTAACAAATATACTGAAATCTATTTTTAAATTGTGTATTTTATAAAATAGGTAATAATACATTGAGAAAATTGTCTTTATGTAGATACTATTTTTTTATGTTCATTTCCAAATTAAATAAATGTATATACATAAAATTCTAATCACTATACAGACCTGTTATGATATTTTTTTACTTTGGTTTTAAGAACAAAAGTATCTACCTATCTGTAAAGTATCAATTGGGCCAACAAGTCATATATTTATTGAATTTATATGTATTATAAAAAATTTATACTATAAAAAATCTTGGATTAACAGTGGTGTAGGCTACACTGAAAAACACCATTTTATAAAACTTCAAATGAAAGCAAAAATGTGTATATCCTTTTTTTGTTTTTATTAAATCTACATACAATTAATATACGTTTGGCACTGAGTGTGTTTGTCTAAACTAATCACGTGTACTGAATATAAATATAGTGCGTATACTAATTATGTGAAAAAATTGATATTCAGTCAGAAGCCACAAGGTAATTCAGGCTTTAACACCGCTATGTCCTCTCAAATGCTCAAAAGCTCAATGGCGTATTTACATTGGTGAATGACATCAGTTTGCGACGTACAAACGATTTCTGTACCTCGCTTTCATTGGTCAATGAGATGAGCGCGCAAACCTAATCAACTAGTGTAAATGAGCCGTAAAGTAAAAGTGCTCACACACAGTGGTATGTTTGTACATTTTCTGTTATATTTTTTTTAACAAAATCTATACATCTTCTCATAACATTATGTTAACTAATTGTAAAACATGTAGTTTGAGAGATATTTTTATGAGGATATTATGAAAAGATTTGATTGTTTGTTTTCTTGCATTAATAGAGTTCGAAACTATTCGATCTCGTATTATAATTTTTTTACACCTATGGAAAGCCATATCGCTCTCAGTTAACATAGGCAATAATTAACGAGAACGACGTCAGAGGAAACATCTAGAGGTAGTTACATATAAAACTATCTAAAATATTGTAAAAATATTGTAGCAAAATGTTACAGAGTGCTTAATAAGTTTTTTTTTGACGTTTACGCTCACCGTCTATTGTGACTGCATTAAGGCGAGGTTTTCTGTAATGTTTTATTTTTATTGCAATTTTATTCTAATGTATTGCTAATATTTGCCATATAAAAATCAAAATCATTTTATGAACATTAAACATATGGTATATTGTTGACAAAAAAAACAGAAAGATAAATTTCAATAATTGGCTTGACAAAAAAAAATGTCAAAGATAACACTAACGATTTTTGGATCGATCTTAAAACTAATATATTTCATCTTAAATATATAAAAGATATATTCAAAAATAGGTTTTGATGTAATCTAAAATTATTTAAATATATTTTTTATGACTGCATATATTGCGCACTTGTATGAAAACGTAAGCAAAGATACAATGGAACCTAGAAATTTTAGTAAGGAAACCGGTGCAGCGCCTCTAAAGGTAACTATCAAGAACTACAAATTCTCATATAAAATCTTAATTCCCTCATTAGTGAACCCTCGTAAAACTTACTGGTCACTGCGTAACGTTAATTGCTGTGTGTGAGCACCTACACACTCAAAGTCAGTGCATATAGTAATATGCACTGACTTTGAGTGAGTACAAGTGTGTAGCACTACTATTTACTTGGTACTGTGTTTGTAGATATGATTCGTCCTTTATTACGCGTCATCGCAGCCATTAATATCCTATTGCCATCCGTTATTACCATAGAGAAATAGTGATAAGGTCCTAACTGGTAGTTACCGAGAAATCTAATGGTAAAAAGTGCGAGTAATAAAAACTTATCCAATGGGTTCTAACAATTACTCTTGACATACGCTAAGTCAGAAAATTGTTGCTGTTTTTTTTACAATATCTGAATAGATTTTGGATAATCATACAATTTACAAGATTTAATTTTTAATGAAAAAAAAGGCTGGTATTTTTTTTGTATTTATTTATTTAATCTTAATTGTCTAGTGAAACAGACAAATGACGGACGTAATACCAAAGAGGTATTTTCTACCAGTCAATCAGTTAGTTTGGTTAAGAACTTTAAATACGGCGGTAGTAAAAACGTTAGTTAATATATAATAAATATTTATCTGTATAGCAAAGATTATAGCATTGTGAATGCATTAATTAATCCAATATAATAATAAGATTTCATTTTCACACTCCAGTTAGGACATGACTTAATTGAACTTTACAGCATTCCACACACTAAAAATAAAAATATATACACATTACCAATTTATATGATAAAACAACTTAAGAAATGTAAAAGACCACTCTTTTTGTACCAACACTTCCATATTCTGTGAATCTTCTGACTTATCTATAATGTTACTTAACTAGGCGGTTTCAAAACACCAAAATACCACACTACGTCAGGTTAATATTTGTTTTGATTTGCAAATTTTTGTTTATATAGATATTTTTGAACATTCAAATAATTATTTTGCTATTTTAAGTGTTTTCAGAAAAGGATATATTATATTATCTAGTGGATTAGTAGTGTTTTTTTAAAAATGTAATGTTCAGAGTTTGATTTAACAGCCGAACTGATTACAAGCTGCTGATTCTATCTAAATATATTAAACGCGGTGAATGTATTATCGAGAATTTACATTGTAAAATTAATATTCTACAAATTTTTTAATTTTATGCCAAAACACAATTTTTTTTTTATGTATATAAAGTTACAAAGAGCTAACTATCCGTAATAAATTATGATTTTAACAATCAACATATTAATATTATACAAAAATATACATATACAAATGGACAAATTTTGAAACCTTTTTAATGAGATAGATTGTTCTTACGAACTTAAGATTACATTCTGATACTTCTGTAATGTATAAAATGGGTTGCCTGCGTCATCTCTTTAAAAATAAGGAGATCTGTACCCGTTGCATAAACTTCCATTAAAATCGACACATCACCGATACAAACATTGATTAGAGCTTAAAGTCGTATGTGCAATTGGGCATCTGACTGTTTACATATTTTTAATCTGGTTTTACATTTATAGATGAACTAAAAGTACACTGCTGTACAAACAATATAGACCTATACAAAATAAACAATATTTTATGATTTGTAAATTTCAGTGAATAATGTTTATATATTTTAAAATTATTAATAAATTATCTTAAACCGAGGACTTTATATATAGAACTAATCATTTAACTTTATACTTATGTATTATGGTATATAATATAAAATAAAAACAAGAAGCCTGTAATTATTAGCTAAGATGTATCTATAGATCTGAATAAGAAGTTAAAAATGTTGTAAAATGATGTCGTATGAGATTGGTGTAATAAAGTGTTAATTTGATTTTAAAAATAAATTATTATTGAGAAAATAAACCTTTATATTTAGTGAACAAAAAAAAAATAACCTACATCTCCCAAACAAGTAAACGAAAGAATCTATATTTAAATATATAAAATTCTTGCGATACTGACTGACTGACAGACAACGTACAGCCGAAACAACTGAGCGCAGTATAGAAGAGCACTAAGAGAGGATTTTTGAAAATTCCACCCCGAAGGGTCTAAATTAGGGGATGAAAGTTTGTATGAAACTTCGTTACTACAAGTGCTAGGAGTTTCAAATTTTGCATGCGGGTTCTTTTTGGACGTGGGTACTCACTAAGATTAAATTTTACGAAATTCGACCCCTAAGGGTGAAAATTATAGAATTTTATGGAATTTTCTCACTTCTAGACTTAAAACTAGACCACGCGGGCGAAGTCGCGGGTTATAGCTATTATAGTATAAAACAAAGTCGCTTCTCCCTGTCTGTACACTGAAATGTTTTGAACTACAGAATGGATTTCAATGCCTTTCATCAATATACAGAAGAGGAAGGTTAATACAGAACCACGCGGACGAACCCGCTGGCGGAAAACCTATTTCATAAAATTTAGTCATCTCCGAATTTGTCGGCGTCGTCGTCATGACTTGAATAGTTATCTGGAACTGCTGAATAATTCAACCTTTTTTTTATTATATAAATAATTATATTGCATTGTAAATGAGAAAAAATATCAATTAAAATAATCCATCACGA